CATAGCACACAAGCCAGAGCCAAAACAAACTCCTCATGTTGGAGAGGTATTGGTGATTTTGTCCTGTATCTCTATATTGCCGATAGTGCCTGGAAATGACAGTGATGGCCTTTTTCATTTTCCGCAGTAATAGCAGCGAGTTGAGGCTGTAATATCAGAGGTGGAGAGGTGATTGTGAGTCTGTTTTTTTCCCCTTACCGTAGGTTCCACAGGTTGAATCTAAACAGGATGGGCTTCTTGCACAGTGCGACTATTGCCAGCAGCTCTGTCAGCCCTTCATACACGGTGAGATGTTGGAAAATGAAACACACTTTAAGAGGGTGAGTGTAGCTTTTTTATTTTTTACTTCCAACAAGAAATTGAAAATAAATGGAAATAGAGTAGAAATCAGGACTGTTCGGCTAACCTTGACAAAAGCATGTTGATTTGTGTTTAAAAAAAGTGAGAAGCATTGCAAATAAAAAAGAATGTGTTTTGTTGTAAATGTTCCATTATTCAGCTCTTTTGTTGCAAACAAGCTAAACAAATGAGAGAGCTTATTATGGGAGAGAGAGAAACATTGGCACAGAAGGAGTCGGCTAGGAAGATTGATGTGAAGCCGCATGATCCTGTCATGAGTGAGGAGGAGAGGGAAGCCGCTAAAAAGCAGGCTAAGGAGAGGTGAGTAACATGAATGCCCTATTAGCTTCTGCATTTATTATATTTTATGGATCGAGTGGCAGGCTGCCAAGGACAAACATACATTGCATGCATGTTGATTTTGTTTGTGGCATAGTGCATGCCATAAAAAAAGCCGTATTTCTTATTGTTATACCAGTAGCATGAGAAATCAGGTGGCGTATGAATTTAATTATCATACCCTTCAGGTGTTGGCATTGTTTTTGACATATTCCCACTCAAAAGAAAATATACATTTATATACAGGTTGAAGCTTTTGCGACACCAGAGAAAAGCAGACAACTTGATTGTAGACTTTGGTAAGTATGCAACCTGGGGCCCTGAATTACACAAATAAGTATACATTAAAAAGATAAGTGTGCAGTATTTCATGCTTCTCCATGAAAAATATCAATAAATGGATATCCTCTTTGTTTCTGTATCTCTATATTGCCGATAGACAACAACAGTGAGCCTTCAATGCCTCAGATAAATATCAACAAAACTACTGACTTGTTCTCAGTAAAAGAACAAACAGACGGTGAGCCAAAGGTATGTAAGAACGCACTGCATGTTTTAACAATACCTATATATACTCCTTAACAATACCTGTTCTATCTTCAATGTATTTAACAGAAATATAACTGACTCTTTTGCATCACAGCTCAAGGAATTGATTAGGAAGTTCTACAAAAGTGGGAAGGGCTTTCTCACCCTATGTCCAGATGGAACTGGAAATGTTTTGTATCCTTTTAAGAAGTGCAAGATCAAGGAGTACATCCTTAATGAGAGGCTACACATTTGTTCCCTTTGATGAAAGGTTTGCACGGTGTTAATGATCCTTAATAGACACAAGTTACCCTTCTGGGAAAGCAGCCATTATTATATCCTCCTCAGAAGCTGCGGACTTCACTTACATCATCTTGGAGGACAATGATGTATCGCCCAGCATCAAAGGCATTTTCACAAATAAAGGCCACGCCACATGCTATCATCACACCGGAATGATGTGGTAATTGTTACTCTATTATAACTGCTATTATAATCATTAAGGCAAATGTCTTACTAAAATAAGGTCTTAAAGGAACAGCACCTCAATGTTCTCATCCAACTGTCTGCCAGAAAGCTTTTAACTCACACAGACAGATACCAATCAAATATCAAAAACGAATCTATTGTATAAGACACGACATGGTTAAGACCTTTTATAAATGACTTTTTGACCGAAGACACTTTTTTGATTAACCTGCTGCCCACACGCTCCAGGTGAGGATTTGTCTATTGCTAATCTCTGTGGTGTGTCTGAAGGTTGAATTTGACCCCTGGTGGAGGTCTCTGCTTCAGTGAGACAGGAGCTTTGAGGAGGCGTTGGAATTGGTTGTACGGTGACCCGCATGTACGTAACCTCCCCTTCAAGCCTCTGACCTTTGCCCTGGCCCCACACATCAGTGTGCGCATACACTCACAGGAACGCGTGAGCATCACCTTCGCACATAAGCAAAACAGAGTGCACTTCAATGTGGGGTCAAAGGTATGTGATATGAAATGCATGCAGTGATGTACTGTACGTGTTTTAGCACACCAAACTGTATGCAGCAGATAACAGCTATAATTAACGCTTTGCAATGTGTGCCGGGATTTATTTTTGAAAAGGGACTACTTGTTATTTTTCTTTCAATGCAGCTCATTTCTCCAGAGAGCCATGACAAGCTGGGGCAAGACGTTCTGGAGAGATATATCCAAATGAAGAGCTCAGAGATTCACTCTCTGCTTGGCCAGATGCAGACCTTCATGTCCCACCACTCTGCGAGGCTGAGGAACATTAAGCCACATTACAGTTTCATCGCCCAGGCACGGCGGCTTAGCAGACAAATGGAAAAGGAGGAGTCACCTGAAGAGATAAAGGCCCATGTCAATTAAGTGAGAAATACAAAATTGGAAAAAAGCTGAAACGGTTATGGCTGTGTTACAGTTTATTGCCTTGTATTATTTAAAACGTCTTGAGTATCTGGTGCTTAGTCTTTCATGGTTATATTCTGAGTGTAAAGCTTGAGTTCGATAGAAAAAGATTTATGGACGATTGGGTCAATTGGTTTGGAGAAAATAAAAATCTCAGTGAAGAAGCACTGGTAGAATGTCTTTCTACCGTTTATCAAATATCACCACAAAATAATTCCTCCAGATATCTGTACAGTTATCTTTCGTCTGCTGTGAATGGATAGTTTCTAATAAAAGAGAATATCTACACCACATAATTAAATGATGACCTTCAACATTTCAGGAAACAAAAGTATTGTTTCCAACATCTGACTTCTAGCTTATATGCTGTAACTCTTTTTCCAATCATATCCAATTACCTATTCCTTGAAATGTATTTGAAATCCAGCTACTGAAAAACACCCGCCGTTAATCTGCCTGCATACATTTTATATTAGTCTATTTCATTTTGATAGTGTATATTATTTAAAATATCATCAGGAGATACACATAGAACAATACTTTGTGGTGTATTAAAGCTTAACAATACTCCCAGTAAGAGTTAAAACTATTTCCATCTAGTTTAACTTGTTATCTAGTTGAAAGCACAATCAAAAGAAATATGATAAATGAATATCCTTTTAAAAAACCAAGCCTTTCATGCTGCATTTAAGGCAGGGAGACAGAGAGCGATAACCACAGAATGTTTATGATAAATACACATTATTATCTTCTCTTTTTAAAACTGAATGCGTCATGGGATTTTTAAAGCGTTGTTCCTAATGCTCAAAGAAGCTTATAGTGCGTCAAATAGGCTTTTAAAGCACCATACCGAAACACCTACAGTGCATCTAAATTGAAAAGAAGCACAACTAGTTTTAGAAAAAAATCAGTCAGATCTTTTTTTCATTGCATTTCTTTGACTTGTAGGTATCGGAAACAACTGCAATTATTTATTTCCATTATATAATTACTATATGCTCACTGTTGGACTATTATTCCCAGAATGAAAATGATCGTGCTCATAGAAGTTGGATGTAGACAGTTGGCTTATGTACACTTTTTTTTACATCAATTACAGAAGCTGCAAACACATTAAAGTGAAATAAATAATATTCTCTTTCCATCATTTTCTGTTATATTCTCTATAAGTCAGATTTCTATTTGCTTTAGCATGAACCCGCGTATGTACAGTATTGATAGTATGCAAAAGAACAAGGTATGAATCATGGTAGATTAGATGTTTAAAAAAATAAGTACAGCACATTGGTTCTACTACCAATAATATGATCGTAGTAAAACATGTGTTATTACCGCAGATGAATAACACCACTATGTAATTTCGCTTGAGACAATATTACATTTTACATTTAAGTACAACACTGGTACTGTATGTATATTTTAATTACCCTTATGACATGTCTTGGTTCCTTATATTCATATTGTGCTTCATTGAGCTCCTTTAGCGAGACCCTACAATATGTATATTTCTTTGATACTCCAATTATTTCCCTCTCACTTTACCCGTACAGATTTCTGTCATTGTGCCGCGAAAACACCTGAATTTCCCCTCTGGAGATCACTCAAAGGCTTGTCTTATGTTATCTGAAGAACTGAATTTAATGGCAGTGGTAGGAACTATAAAAGAAAAGAGATCAAATGAAAGAAGAGGCGTACTGTGAAAGTACAGTTCCCCTCTCTTTCTCTTCCATTTCTGATAATGATTCTGCCATAGAAACAGCATGCTTATTGTTATGTGGTTGCTATGGATCACTAGGGTGCAAAAACATTCTGTACCAGATTTAAAATGTTTTTTGTATTAATTCTTTCATTTGTGGTTTTTCTCTGCTCACCTCTCACAATGAGTCAAGGACATGAAGAGGATGAAGAACCAACACTTGACTCGCCAGGCGGATCACCTGAGATGGATTCGGCAACAAAACATGGACTTGAAAACACACAGAGGTTTGGAAAGAAATGCCACAAATATAATTTAGTAACTGCATCATGAACAGTAGTTAAACTAAACACGGCAATCCAGAACAGAAAACAGAAATCTTGCTAACATGTAACGTCATTTAAGATGATGAAAAGAGAAAATGTAGTTATACATTTAAACATGTAGGCCTTCTTTAAACACTAGGACTCCCATACAGTTATTGAAGGGCAGTTGTGTAAGGTTGTATCATATCCTGAAAGCACTTGAGTTATTGCTCTGGCATCTTACCCCTGCATGTATTAGGCTTTCTTAAACTGATAATTAAGAACTGGTTCCAGCACGAGCTCACCTGAATATCTGACGATCCACGCATCTGACGGGAGAGTTGTCACCAGAATCAGCGCTGGCACACAGACTGACTGGAGACATGAGGAAGAGCAAAATCCAGGTACAATTTCTTCACATTTCATGCTAATTATGATATATAATATCTGACCTGGGTTGGGAATGTCTGAGATGTATATAAATATATTTTTGCATTTGCAGACTATAAATACTCCAACGTAGGAACATCAAAAGCACCTCATAAGAATGTGGGGATTGCATCTGAGCAGGTAAGGTGCAGTAACCTTAAAGATTGTTTAAGGTGGCAAACTCGCAATGAGGTATCCCTTTTCTCTCAACTTTAGTGATGATGTCCTTGACAAAGTAAAAGGTGTATAGGACAGAAAGTAGAATAACTTTATGTCATTTAACTAACATTTGAAGGAGACTTTATAGAGACACCTTAGACAAATAGAGAACGGATGTAATTAGCATATATGAAGTCTTTGTGTGTGTTTTAGAGAAATACTGAAGTTTTCATAGCTTTGTCTATACTTGTCACAGTGTGAGTTTGATCTTTTGAGAGATGATATGACATGGTATCGGGAGACATGGTTTTGATTTATTCATGAAGCACAAGTTAAAGACCTCAAAGAAGTTAATAAATTATGAAGTGTCTTTGTTTTTTCTCCTCAGAGCGTTCCTAAAAACATGAAGTCTGAGTTGGAGATATCCCCAGATAATGAAGTGTTGGATTTGTTCAGCGAGGAAACTCCCCGAGCTCCCGCAGCCTGCCAAGGAGAAACTGAGGAGTCTTTAACTCATCTGGACAAGGTATGGAGGAAAATGCCACTTTTAAACTGCTCCTTTTTCTCTTATCGCAGAAATACGAATTCATTTATGGAACATGCAATTAGTCAGCGTTTGTCTTGAATCAAAAACGTTCCTGTCATCGCTGGAGCTTGTTTCAAAACATGCCAGACTATAACATGCTTTTTGAATACCTCATTAGCTGGAATATTTGGATGCTATGTATTGGTGACAGTGTGTTTTTAAAAAGAAAATGTGATTTAAGAAAAAACTGAAAATGCCTGTCCAATGATTTCTTTCAGATCTCATCCTCAAGTGGATCAGACTCATCAGAGGAGAAGCTGCAGACTGTGCTGAACATTCGCTGTGAGCACTGCCAGCAGCCTGAGAAACCCCCAGTGGCCAGCCATCAGATCGCCAACAGTGTCGACCCACAGGAGGTGAGAGAGAGCAGGCAGCTAACACTACTGTTCATATGGTGACACGCTCATGTTAAATACAAACTGACAGAACTGGCAAAAAACGTGCTACTTTGCTCATGTTGCTAAATGAGGAGTTGCATTTAGTGTCAATGTGTGCAGCTTGGACTTGTGATGATTATGGAAGCCATGCAAATGTGAATATTAGTTCTAGCTTAGCATCTAAATGTGAAAGATAAACACATTGATGTTTTATGACTAATGAACGGCAATACGAATGTCATTCCCCCTCAGCTATATGTTGTGCTTTGTGCTAATTATAAAATGTTGGCATGCCAACAAACTAAGTTGTTCAATCAGTCGTTTTAGTTCCATATATTACATTTTCACTTCATAATAATTGTGGCGAAAATAATTCACACTAAATGTATCATCTTTATATCTATAGAAAAATACATTTGAGTTTAGGAAGGTGGAAAGACAGTCTGCTACCAGAACTGTACAAAAGCATTCAATACAATGTTAGGGTCTGAATGTCTTGAGCAACCTGATTAGTTGCCTTGATGTACTGTAGGAATTTGAATCATTAAGGACCTTGAATATTGTGCCTGAATATGTATTTAAATGAGTTTCTCTTTCTGTCTTTGTGGCAGGTTCTCTGCTGCCAGAAGGCACGGAATAGGGACCCGGCGATGCGGAAAGATCAAAGGTCAGGTTCAATCGTCCATTATGTGCTTCCACCATTGGACGCTTTTCAAATGTAATTTCTATGCCCTAAATCTCTGATGTTACATTTTCCTTGACACACCGCAGGTTAAAAGGTGTGGAATATGAAAGGAGCTCAGATCCTCAGACCCCTCAAGCAGGTCACACACACACACACACACACACACACACACACACACACACACACACACACACACACACACACACACACACACACACACACACACACACACACACACACACAATGATGGTTCTTGTTCTAACACTCCATGATATCTTTCACTACATTACAGCAAGCTAACAACAAATATGTGCCCCCCAACACAATATACTCTCAGATGATGCTGTGACCGCCATGATGAAGGTGTTATTCCCTGAAATAGAATATATAGAAATCGAGGATTCTGGAAACACTTTCTCTTTCAATGGACAAAATGCTGGACGGCAGGTATAAATAATGATATCAATGTGGAACGCCTCATTAAGCATAGACGCCTTCACTGATTATTAATGTTGAAATTGGTTCAACAGAGGACGTCACCCCTTGTGAAACACTACAGCAATGGTCAGATATTTATCGTGATTTTTCCTGATGGAACTGGGCATGTGTGGTATCCTTTAACCGGCAATTTACTGGCATGAGATCATACATACTGAGTGTCTGAATGTTTTTACCTTAATCATAATTGAAAGCTATCCATCAGGCAGGCTTGCTATTCTTGTATCTGCTGCCCAATCAGCTGACTGGTGCTGCGTGTTGGTCCTGGAGGACAAATATCCACAGCCTCGCATTCAGGCAGTTTTCACCACTGAAGGGCAGGCAACCTGTTATCACAACAATGGCTGTATTTGGTATGCTTGATTATTGGATATATGTATATAGCCAACATAATTGTGTAAATCACCAGCTATCCATAGGAGCTCATCTGTATTTTTATCAATAGAATTGGCAGAAATGACAACCTGTGTGGTTGAGAGGATTAAACCCTCTGAAAGGCTTATTGCTAACAACCTGCTTCTCTTTCTTAGGGTGAATCTTTCTCCATGGGGAGGCACCTACTGCAGTGACACAGGTGGTTTGAAGAAACATTGGGACTGGCTGGACAAAGAGCAACATGTTCATGCTCCGCCCTACCGGACCCTCGCTCTGACACTGAGCCCTAACCTCAACATCCGCATCCAATCCCAGGAGCACATCTGCATCGCTTTCACCTCGGGGAAGCGGAGAGTACAGCTCAATGTAGGGGCAAAATTGAAGGTAGGTTACCGTGGTATTAATATTCATGGAGAAATACAAAAGCTGAGGAAAAAAGACCAAATTGTCTGACTTTTGGGCTTTACTTTATATTGCTGTCGCAGCTGAATCAAGGCAAAGGGCTAACGCTGCCGGGGCTCGACATGCTCCAGAGGTATCTGCAGCAGAAGAGTGCAGAGATCAACGCCCTGCTCCAGAACATCCAGTCCCTCATCCCCGATCAAAAGACTGTCAGTCCACGGAAGGTCAAGCCCCAGCCAAGCCTCATCTCACAGACGGAAAGACGGCAGCTGCCAATGAAACAGCAACAGTCTGCCAAGAAGACCCCTAAAGCAGACGATGGTCTTTGTGTGAAGTGACTCAAACTGTACTATTCACATCATTTGATTTTTCAAGTGCTTCCAATAAAACCAAAAAACATCATTAACCTTTTTCTTTTTTAATCAGAATATTCATAAATAGTTTAACTGTACACGTCATTTTACATGGGACACACCGAAGTAAATGTCACATTGTTAGAATATTTTTTACTTTTGTTAACTCGTCGAAGACCACCATGAAACACAACCCATAAATCATACAGTACACAGTGCAAAACTGCAAAGGTGCATTCTTTTTGCAAAAATAAAAGCATATTAGTTTTAATCAACCTATGTATAAAAAGGAAAAAGTATAAAACATAAGATTTCATTGTATTTTTTTACATATTTGCAACAGAATAACAAAAACATTCAGGAGAGAAACGTGGAAGAGACGTCCGTAAAGATCAGCTGGGTGGACTCCGCTATGACCAGAGAGGAAACCTGTAGCGTCCTATATCAGACCAGCGACTTCTACTGAATGATACAAAGGCTGTTGCATTTTAAAATAGAGGAATAAAATATTGTGCTGCATTTTTTTTTCTCGTTATCCTTCCAAACCTATTGAGGGAATCCAGGCATCTGAAGCCCCTTTACTGGCCCTTAGCTACCAGGCTGAAGAACAACCCTTTAGTGCCTCCTTTTGTACACTTAAAGTGTCCTTGTCTGAACACTCTCAACACAATTCAACCCCCCCAGCCCTCACATAGTGTGCAAATTGGTTTTATCCAGAACAATTTGGTGTTAAGAGAGATACAACTGAGATCATGAATCCACCCTTGTCAAATAATGGATTTCTCCTACATGAAAACAACCTTAACCACAACACCAGATTTGATTTAAGTTGAGCAAAATCATCAGTACCCAAATAATACCCTCCACTTCCCAGTTATGGACTTCAACAAGAATACCTGAACCTCCACATACTCGTAGCTACTTGAGCCTCCGTCGAAGAATCTTTGGCCTTGTGTAGGTTTTTTTTTTCTTTCAGTTCATCTCTCCCAGTCCAGGTTACAGTCTCTGTTCATGTTGATCGGCAGCGTCACATCAACTGGTCATGGTTGGAGTTGCAACATCCCATAGCTACTGTATCCAGAGGGTGTTTCCAAACTTGGACATTACTTATTCACAGACAGCAGTAGGTTAATCTGAAAGAGAGGCGTGAAAAAAAATGATGTGTTCACCGTGACTTAGCTGGGATACGTTATCTACCGTTTCCCCACTTAAGTTGCTCTCAGCAGTTTGTGGAACTTGCAGCAGTATTATTAAAACTATGTGAGGTGCCCTTGGGCTGTGATAATCCCACAGTGCTGTACCTGCTCCATCGATGGACACGCGATGATTTGAAGGTCTTCTCCGCTGTATTCCTCCTGAAGCGAGGCATGCAGTCTTTGGAATACCTGCTGGATGTTATTCTGTGGAAAGAAGCTATCATATTACTGAGTGCTGGAGGGAAATTAATACTACATTTCCATCTGGCCTATGTCCCCTCACTATCTTGTTTCCATGTCAACGGCAGAATTGTGTTACCCTCTCATTCAGCTTCACCTGGCACCTTGATGAACAGTACACAGGCGGCACAAAGACTTCTCTATTAGAGTTCAATCCCGCTGATCATGTATAGCTAAAGGCACAATCTCAAGTCAGATTTAAACAAAAGGGTCGGTCCAAGAGTAACATCAAGCACCGGATTCTCATCTTTACCTCGACATATAACTGATTGAAAGAGCTCTAACTACAGTTACTAGACTTTGCTGAAATATAAATATTAGTCATGATGATTTCTGATGCTATGAGAGGCTTGTTTACATGTCTGCACATACCAATGCACAACAGACCTATACTATTCAGGTTCATTGGAATAGCCTCTAATTTACATATTTTCAGAAAATGACTTATTAGACCACTGACTCAAGCGCATGGTATTTCTGCTTTGAAACCACCACATGAAACAAAATCAATTTACATATTTTGAGCTGTAACACTTTTAAAGAAACATGCACATGCTACATCTTAGCGTTTCCGCTACCCACCCGGACAGGCTTGAAAAGGATGAACTCTGTGTCTCTATTGGATAAGTACAAGGACATGCTCTGTAAAGTGCTTGGCAGCTTGCTCTTCATCACCCGGTAGGTAGCCATCACTATATCGTTGATCTTTGCTAAAAAGAGGGAAGGAAAAAAGAGGTATGAGGAAAAGCAGAAAAAACATTGACATGCCCTCTAGCATGCGCTTTACACGTTTTGATGAATTACAGTATGATGCCAGTGGCATTCCCTGAGACAAATCTTACCTGGCTGTGCCCAAGGTTGCTGAGACAGACTGTACGTGGGACCACCTTGGATGGCCATCGTTTTCAGAGCTGCGACCTGAGTGCACACACAGCCAAAACATAACATTACTATTTGAAAAGACTTCATTTGAACTGGTGCTGCTATAAGCTATACAAACAAGCACAACAAGCTGGGATTCCATTCTGGCAACTTCAACTCAGTTTTGAATTTGACAGAGCTGTATTTACTTAAATAATAATAGATAAGAGTGGGTGGAAGCAATAAAGCAACCAATAATTGCAGCGCAAATACTGCATAGAAAGATAATAAATTATAGAAAACACATGCATATTTACACACAGTAATAACTAGCATTATAATTAAATATCCTGGATCAAAAGCAGCAATTTTGTCTCGAGTTTGCAAGAACGCTATGAGACCTTCAGTGAAGAGTAAATGGGAATTTTCCTTTTTTCAAAAAAAGGTTTTTAAAGGTGAAAACTAATGCGTGAAGGTCAGGATGAGCTTTGGCTGCCTGAGGCTAAATCTGCCTTCTAAGTGCTCCAACTGTTACCTTGGTAAGGAACTCTTCAAGGTTCCCCACAAAGATCTGAGTCTGCTGCTGGATGAACTGCTCACAGCTGAACTTCAGGTGTCGGTCCACATCCTTCTTGGAGTCAATGTAGTGCTCCTTTATCTCTGGCGTTCCCTGAAGGCCACACAGACGGAGGCGTTAGCACTGTCAAGCGGAGAATCCCTAAGGCACGGTGCTATCAAAGTACATTAAGTGTATGGTAGGTTAAATAAAATGGAAGAAAAAAATAAAAACACTACCTCCAGCAGGAATTCAAGTATGGCGTTGTGACTGTTAAGTCTGAAGAATTTGGGAACAGCCTTAGGGTTGAGGATTTTGAAGGCAGCATCTTCACACAAAGCAAAGAGATTAAATCAGGGCTGGTGTAGCATTAGAGTGCCCTCTAGTGCTCCAAATCTAATATGACCTTGACTGAGATGAGGGTGATACGAGGAGCGGATGTGCCCTGTGAGCCGTCGGTTAATGTTCATTATGGTGTTGGATTGCACTGTACTTTCCACATTAATTGTTGCCACTGGTGCATGTGATAGGCACAAGTTGCTTAATGAGCATGAGAATGTAATGACTAGCTTTATGGAGCTGAACACTAATGTTCCCGCAATCTTTAATTATCTTACCTCGCGTTTTCTTCAGGTCCAGTGAGATTTCCTTGATGGCAAAATCGGTGTGAAACGGGGCAATCTGTTCACGCACTATCAGCAGGTGCTTGATCAGGAAAAGTTGCCCATCTATTTGCGTCTACAGAAAGTGATAGCACAGTGTTAAATCCACACTGCAGGCTGCCAACACAAAAAGGGCATCTGCCGACTATCCAAGCTACACAGAGAAACAAAAAGCACCATCTCAGAGACGATGAGGGAATATGTCTAATGATAACCATAGCTAGGAAGGGACATATCACTGTGATGGATCAGGCAGCTGAAGCATTCATTGGTCAGTTAAAACATTGGAGTAAGACATCATCAACATGGGGTAGGAAAACATCCTCTGAGATTGATGTTGCCGCTTTAATTTGAAGTGTTAGGTTGAAACGGGCCAGTTAGCACAGAGAGACAGCAAATGTGAAGGTGAGAGAAATCTATAAATAAAAGATGGTCTGCTGAATACTCTGTAGAGCATAATAAAGCACCCATTAAAATAAACTTTAAATGACATCCCAGCTGCTTTAGTTAAGGAGTCTGCAGCCAGAAGGAATTTTAATAACAGAGCACATTTTATCTTAAGAGATCGTATTCATTTCAACGTCAAAAGAAAAGCACATTTCTAGCTATTTTTAGAATAATAACAATCTGAAAAGTTCAGTAAAAATGCAAAACCACACTGTACTCTTAAGAATGTGTGCCAACCTTGTTTTTAAGGATGATATCTGAAGCTTTAAGCAGCGACTGGATGCAGGCAGATAAGGCTTCTTGAGATAAACCCTGGAAGACTGCTCTCTGGAAAAAGACCAATCACAGACAAGAAACTCAGGAATAAGAAATTACAAACATCAGAAAAAATATATACCAAAAATCCTGCCATATTTTAGGATAGAACACTTTAAATCAGTAACGAAAAAAGAAAGATGACTCACATCTATACATCTGTAGAGCTTGGACAGACAGACCAGCGTCCGCCTGACAGTGGGGTACCACATGCCGTGCAGATCAGCAGGAGAGATAGATGACTGCAGGCGCGATGCTTCGACATTCCCTGCATTCATGGAACAAAAGGATGAAGTGCAGGCAACAATAACACCAATTGTTGTAGAATGTTTAAGAAGCCAGGGTCACAGTCTGAAAAAACGGACCAGCATTACTGTTTCTTCTGCCATCAGGACTCTCGAGCTGAACATCAGAAAACATGGCCTCTTGTGACATCTGCTTCATCTGCTCTTCCTTCAAGCTCTGAGCTATTCTCTATTGGGTGACAGAAAGGGAAAAACATGATTTTAAAAAGATAAAAAGTTTTAGATTCTTCCTTTTCTATCAACAAGTTTTAAAGAATAAGTTAACAAAAAAACTATTCTAGCAGCAGAAACAATGATTTGGAAACATAGAAAGCCAGATAAACAACTGAAGAAGTATCAAGGGAATCCTGGACGTTTCAAATATGGAAAAGTGTCCCGATGTAAGACATAATTAAGAGATGTT